TTCAAAATGCCTTGTCTAAGTTTATCTCTGGAGAAGGAGATAAAAAGGGGGATTTGTAGAGTTATATTTGTATTTATTCATGTTAGCAAACTATGGATAAGCTTAAAATGAGAATAATTTGGGTAAAACTGTGAGCTGCATTTGGGGCCTTTTGACATGTGTTTTTGAGGACAAAGGAAGATGTGGGGGAGGTGTAGGTATGCAGGCCTTGAGACTTTTGGTTGTAAGTTGAGCCTGTTTGGTATCCTGCTGGCCAGCGTTGCGTCTCCCAATGAGATGACCTGAAAAGATGACCAGCTGACCTAACACCAAACCCCTCCTTCTTACTCTGGTATATATCCGGTGGATCCCTGGCGTTCGGTCTCTCTTCACATGCTGCCTCGAGCGAAAGGATGTCCGCAGCACGCGAACCAGGGCAGGAGTAAGCCGGCATTACTCCTTAAGCATTACAATATAACTGTAATATATCATGTTGTATTGTAATGATTGTATTGCATTGTCATATTGCCATTAAAGTAGATTATTGTTAACGGTTACTTTGTAGATATGGATTCCTTCCTGTATTATAACCAGCTTCATAGGAACGCGCGGAGATTTGAAAAGCGGACCAGTTATCCCTTTTAATCTCCAACAGCATATGATAGAAAAGATGAGTCTGAGAGACCATACTGATTTTTGAGTTGTTGAAATGGAAGGGTTTGGTCTCTATATATCTGTCCAATTGTAGTAATACCAGCCCTCTGCCAGATATTATTACTTAAGGTACCTCCTCCTGCAGAAAGACAGGGGTTACTCCAAATGGGGCAACATGGTAAAGAGAGCCCCTCTATGTTGAGTCTCCTGTGCAGTTGCTTTACAATAGAGCATGAAAAGCGGATGATGGTATTATCCATTGAGGGTGGTGGTCTTGGGCAGTACCACATTGATGCCAGAGATATGTTTTGGTTTACAGACATGATGGATTGCTCCAGCCATTGCCAACTGCCTATCGGAGAGGCAATTTTGTACGCCCACGATAATGGATACTTTGCATTGAAGGACAGATAATACTGGAATACATCCGGGACTCCCAAACCTCCCATTGATCTTGGAATTATCAACTTATTATGTGCGATTCTGGGTTTTTTATTATTCCAAAGGAACTGAGTGAATAGGGATTTGATATCTTTAAACCATTTTAGTGGGAATTCAAGAGGGATAGAGGAGATAATATGAGAAAGCCTTGGGAGAACATTAATTTTCAAGGTTTCTGCTCTGCCCCATAGAGAAAGTGGTATGGCCATCCATCTGTTGATGTCCTCCTTAATGGACTGGAAAATAGCAGGGCCGTTAAGGCTAAAGATTTTAGAGATAGGAGAGACGATGTTAATTCCCAAATACCTCATTCCATTTGTTTTCCAAATAAAGGGGGTGTTCATTAGGTTGTGCTTATATGAGTTAAGTGGGATTGCTTCACTCTTGTTCCAATTTATCTTATATCCAGAGAAGCTGCCAAATAAATGTATCATATCAAGAACTGCGGGTATAGAGAGTGCTGGCTTGCTTAAAGTAAGAAGTATATCGTCAGCGTACATATTTAATTTGAAATCGTGTCCATGAATGTTCACACCATGTATGTCACCATTAGAGCGAATTGCACAGGCTAATGGTTCTAGAGCCATAATAAAAAGTAGGGGACTAACAGGACACCCTTGCCTCACGCCACGGTGTAAGGGGAAAGGTTTTGAGATTAATCCATTAGTTCTAACAGAAGAGAAGGGAGCGCTATACAAAGCCTTTACCCAGCTAATCAACTTGGGCCCAAAGCCACATTTTTGGAGCGTGTAAAATAGATATGCCCATTCTATTTGGTCAAAAGCTTTCTCAGCATCTAGTGATGCTGCAATCATTGGCAAATTGCTGGAGCTTGCTTCTAGGATAATCTGAAAAACCCTCCTCATGTTATTTGAGGACTGGCGGCCTGGAATGAAACCTACTTGGTCTAGATGGAACCACCTTCTCCAACCGGAGTGCCAGTATCTTGGTTAGAGTCACCGTTTAAAAGGCTTAAAGGGCGGTGGTTACCCATCAGAGAAGGATCTTTGCCCGGTTTAGGCAACAATTAAATAATGGCCCTGCTCATGGAGGGAGGCATGGCATCAGATTCTAATATTTCATTGAATAACAACAGTAAATACGGTGAAAGCTGTTCTTTAAAACATTTATAGAACTCTGTTCCAAAACCGTCGTCCCCTGGAGTTTTTCCTGATGCCATCTTCATGATTGCGTTTTCTATTTCATTTTGGGAAACGGGTGCCTCCATAGCAGATCTGTCAGCCAAGCTGACGCTAGGGAGGTTAAAACCTCCAAAAAAGCTATCTAAGGCTTCTTCGTTCAAGTTATTTTTTGTGCTATATAATTTAGAATAATAATTCTTGAAAGATTAATTGATTTTGGCTGCATCATACTGTAGCCTGTCATGCTCACCTCTGATCGCTAGAATAATCTGTCTGTTTTATATTTGTTTCAATCTATGAGCTAACATTTTCCCTGCTTTGTCTCCGGATTCAAAGTATGTTCTTCGTAAACGAAAAAGAGCAAAAGCTGTCTCCTCATGTACAAGTTTCTGCAAATTAGTCCTAGCGGTGAGAAGTGAGTTTCTTAGATCTAAATTGGATGGGTCTAGCATATGCTGCTCTTCTAGAGTCTTGAGTTTAAAGTTTAATTGGGATTTCACCTCTCTGCGCTTTTTATTCTTTGCCGAGGAGAAACTAATTAACCAGCCCCTGCATGTTGCTTTAAAAGCCTCCCAGACAGTGGTGACGCTTGGTACAGAATTTAGATTAATCTCAAAGAAATCTAAAATGTGGTCTTTAATGAGCAGTGTGCATTTTTCATTTTTGAGTAGAGATGTATTAAGTCGCCACTGTTTGGATTTGCAAGGGTTGGTTGGAGGGAAAAATGTGACAGATACCGCAGCATGATCACTTCATAATATACTATGCATTTTGATCTCAATAACATTCTGGAATTTGAAGACATCATTATGTAATCTATCCTTGAGTAGGAGTTATGCGCACCGGAATAGAAAGAATACTCTCGAGCATCTGGGTGCACTAGGCGCCACACATCTGTAATACCGAGCTCGGATTGGAAGCGGCGGAAATGTTTTTATCTGAAGGGAGAGGGTGGCTGGATCGATCCACTTTAGGGTCACAGACAGAGTTGAAATCGCCACCTATAATAAGAGGACCCTCTATGGACTGCAATATCTTTGGGCACAGCAAGGTAAAGAATTTAGATTGTAAACTATTTGGAGCATACACATTCACTAATGTCACTATTTCATTCTGTAGCAAACCTGAGACAATTACATATCTTCCCTCTTGATCAACATGTACATTGGATGATTTGAAAGGCATATTCTTAGAAATTAAAATACTGACTCCTCTACTAGCTTTTCCTCCAGGGGAAGAGAATATCTGCCCTACCCAATTCTGTCTTAGTTTTTTAGATTCCATCGCATTCAAATGAGTCTCCTGTAGCATAGCAATATCACAATTTAGAGACTTTAAGTACAACAAAATCTTATGTCTTTTGATTGGATTCTGAATTCCATTTACTCATCTCTGTATAGTAGCCTATGTGTATTCATTCTCTGTCACACGCTTTGTTGGAGCGCCTGCCCCCCCCCCCCTCCTTATGAGCCTACTGTGCTCTGATGTGTGTTTATGTGTTACAATGACGTTTGTTAGCAACCAGAAAAAGACACCAGTAATGACAAACAGATGGGGTCTGGGTGCCGTGTTGGCGGGACGTTGTGGGGCTCGCTGCTCCGCCCTTTGAGGCTCGAGGAGCGGACAGTGTGAGCTGTATTGCTGGTGATGTTTCCTGGATACTGTGTGGGGTCTGCGAGACAGCGAAGCACCGAGGAACTCAGCCCGAGCACACACACACACTCACAGCCTGGCTGTGAGTGTGTGTGTGTGCTCCAACGAGGCATTCTGGGGCAGCATAGACAGGTATTTTCTGTGTTAGAGTTGTACTCGCTACAGGGTGAACTTTGAGGGTTTATGACTTTGCAGACCGTTTACATGCAGAAAAAGCTACATAACACACAAGGGGACGGGTAATAACCGGAAAAGCATGACATGGGACCTTTAATAACAAATCTCACCAAGGAGCTCAGTCTTTTGTACACTCAACACATGGAACATTGATTTCGATTAAATTAAATTGTCAGCACATAATTGTATTAGGTTAGTTGAAAACCATACTATTACATTGAACCTCATATGTTTGTATTTAAACTTGATATTGCTTTCAACTAACCTGTACAATTATGTATAATCTGTTACAAAAAACCACTAAAGTCAATTTTTCAATCTTTTGAATGCAGGTATCTCAGTGTGTTCAACTGTCACCAAACAGTTCAACAACTATTTTTGGGGTTTTGAACATCCTTGTTCCTAAAATGATCCTAAAGTGTTCTGTATTCTGCATAATTTAACACTGACTGTAAATTAAATGTCTAACACAAAGATGATAAAACCTAGACAGATGTTGAGTGCTAAGATTTTTGTTTACAAGATTTACAATTGGATACAATGTTTAGCAGAAATACATTTCATAATGAAGAAGTGATTTGCTCAGGATTTATTTATAATCTCTTGTTATTTATTCTTCAAGGTCCTTGACAGAGGATCATTCAGAATACCATCTTGGAATTTATACAGAGCAAATGATTAAGCTCTACCACATTTTTATTAAATGATTACATTATATTTTAACAGGCTTTAGGAAAACAGTTAAATGTGTTTGCATTTTTCTAATTAATAATAGTATTACAGTTTCTAACAACAACATTTAAGTTTCAACTAAAGTTTATTTCAGGAGCGAGCAATAGTAGGCAATAACAGATCGCAATATATTATAAAATATCAAACACAAACACATGTAAGAAAGAAAATACAACCCATACCAAAACAGTGAAAGCCATAAAGAATATCACTAATAATTACCTTGTCCAATAGCAACATAAAAATATCCAAATAAAAATATCCAACAGAGGATTTTTCTTTCCATGTTGACCAGTGTTAATTCTCACAACTCCAGGTATAGTGAAGTCCTTCGTCAATGATTACCCTCTGCGCTTAGTTTGTGAATTAGCCCTCCCTCAGCTTTGGAGGGAGTGACCAATCTTAGTAACAGAGGTTACTTTCAAATAACCTGAAAAACCAGGTAACACAGATTACAAAATAAAAGACTCTACAAACTAAATCATTAAAACAAACAATTGAATAAAGTATCTCAGTTATCTTTCAGCATGCAGCAATAATCCTGTTTTATTCTGATGTCTTAGTTAACTACTGAATTAATCAGCCTTTAGTTGGAAAGTCTGAGTAGTCTTTTATTCAGTCACATTGTGGTTTTTAGTTTGAATGCTTTTCATCACTGAAATTACCCTTTTTTAAAGCTTGACAATTCACCTTGATATTTATCCTATATGTATTATGAATGATTTTAGTTTGTAGTAACTATAATAATTGCGTGACACTGTTACTATTATGTAAACACAACTGAACTTGAGTCAAAATGTTTTCTCTATGAGAAAAAAACAAGTAATACATCAGAAACATAAGGGGAATTATTTTTGGTTGCACTAATTTAAATGCATAAAATCAAAACATACTGTATTTACCAAACAGTTTTTTATAACTCCAAGAAACACTTAAAACATTTAAGAGGTTAAAACTGTCAAACTAATATTTTGCGAACATAACGATGCATGCGAGTTTGATATTCCAGCAAAGATCTTTTTGGTTTTAGATCTGCTTTAGCTTGTTTCAGGAAAACTGAAGATTACATGGAATGGGGAAAAACGTGGGCTCGGCCAAGGCCAAAACCAGATCAGTGTCAGTGTCAAGGTTGTCAAACAGGTTTCTTATCCTTGTAACGCTATTCCTCTATTTATCAACACATCTGCTCATACTATTCTACATTATGGTAACCTGTGCTGAGGCCCTTATTTTGTGCTAGCTTATAGAAAATAGTAATGATCTGTTGTTGCTGTGAAATAGTCAAAAAGAACAATATTGCAAAACTGTCCTTTTACATTTTGGGGGGTATTTCCTTTTTTGTTACTTTCTAATCCTAACTTTAGGCAATATTTGTAACAAGTTACTCTGCAGATTGAGATTAATAATACAACATATAAGCAATGAATAAATTGTTATATAATTATTCAAGATTCAAGGATTTATTTATTTTCATATGCACAACAGCTGCAGCGTAGTTGTTGGTTAGTTAAACATATTAAGTCCCATGCTCCTCCAACAATGTAATGTACAGTATACTTATGACATACAAATAAATATAGAAATAAAATAGTGCAAGAGACACAATGGTGCAAGGAACATCTCAGAATAAGCCAAATAAATACTTATACACTACTAGAATAAGATAAAACAGACTGTACAATTAAACACTGTCAGGTAAAATAAAAATACGGTATACTGTAAAAGTATATGAATATGGGGATTTGTGATAAACAGCTGTGTGTACTTTAAAAATATGAAAGTACTAACATTTCATAGAGCTTAGGAGTGCAACAGTCTTATTGCCATGTGGGAAAAAATGTATCCCTGAGTCTGGTGGTCTTGGCCCAGATACTGCAGTTCGATCTGCCTGACAGCAGATTTGATTCTGATTTGATTTATTTGCAGAAATAAAATGCATCAATAATTTAAATCCGTTCTTATAATTTATGATATTTAAAAATGTTTCATTCTGCACGAAGAATATTTTGAAAATGTTCTACTTTGAGTAGGCTATATATTAAGCGTATAATGTTGCATTCTACATTTTAATGCAGGACTTGACATTTGACCCGTTAGGGCTATTTCTACATCTTACTCAACCACTGGATATTAAAGGCTGTTTGCAGAACTAAATTATAGTGGGTGGCACAGTAAATTAGTTTCAACATAATAGAGTGGCGAAGTCCCGCCCATCTACTTCCGACCCATGGGACCTTATATCGGAAAAATAATGTATTGAAGTCAATGGGGAGAGAAAACGTATCTTTCGATCCCGTTTGAATTGTGCCACGAATATGTTTGTCAATCTTAAAAAATCATTTCCATGTAAAAAAAAGTCACAGTTTGTCGTAAAACTGTTGAAATATAAGACTATGAAAAATACACAACTAGAAAGACTACACATCCCAGAATCCTGGTCCCGCATGCTGACTCTTACGTAACCGACTAACTCCCCTTTTGTGTATGTACAGGAATCCGAAGGACAGTGAACAGGAGGGAAATCATAGGGTAATGGCTAGAAAGGATCCGTCTTGTGTAAAACTCTCACGAGAGTTTCCGAGCCGCTTCGATTACAACGAGAACGTGACGTCATATTTACACAAGACGGATCATTTTCTAGCCATAACCGAACAGGAGTGAGAGGGAGCACACTCCTAAAAAAATTTTTTTAAATAAACCTCGCACTGTGTGTGTCACTGTAATCCGAAATCAAACGCACTCAGTGGCTTTCTGAGTGTTAAATCCCATCTCTATTGCTCTAATACGTCTTCTTTTTTTTGATGAATGAATGTTTCAGTTGAAGGAATTTGGTTCCTATATACAGTCTATGGTTCCTATGTGCATTTGTTTCTTCCGACAGTTTCAGTGTAACACAACTTGCGCATGCGCACTTTTCCGTGTGTGGTGGCAAAAGGTTTGAGTTGTCGAGTTTTCTGCTAAAGCTAAACTTTGCAGAATTAAAATGATAGCATGGTTTTGTGTTACTAGAAACAGCGGCGCCTTGTTCATGCAAAAACTATTGGAATATACTCCGTTTTTACGAAGGAAAAAGTCCACGTCCCAGTTTGTTAGCATAACTAACTAGCGTTTGTTTGGCTAGCTAGCGATGCAGGGCAACGTTGTGAATCTAAATAACGCTTAACTGTATTGAATGGACTCTCAAGTAATTACATTCTTACATTTATTTATCTGAGACACATTTCATACTTTCTAGAGTTTACTTACAGCTCAATCGTTCTTTATATAGTCAACAGCTGCTGTATTTGTATCTTTGACTTGCACTATAATGTGACTGCAGTCCCGTGGAATCAGAATGGACAGGGACTTGTTGAGGCAGTGTCTGACATATCATGGAGAATCATTGTTCAACAAACTCAAATGTGAACAAATAGAAAACCCAGACTTCCAGGCTGTGGTGTCTGACCTGTGCAAGGCCACGTGTGAAAGGTATTTCATCCTGTTCCTTTTGGTTTTTGTTTAGTTGTGAATATATTTAAACTTTGCATATTGACGTTCATACACCATAGTTTGAGAACTTCCATTTCAACTTTTGCTGTAGAAAAACAATCACTTCCTACATTTGCACATACAATATTTTGTGATTTTTGATTATTTTATTAATCGCTTGACTCTTTGTTGGTGTCACTTAATGTTGCAAGTAACAATTATGTTAATTATCAACAAATAACGCAATTGTTTCCTTGAATTGCTTGAAAGTGTGAATAGTGTCACAATTTCCTTAATTCCAAAGGCTGACTTCCTTGCTTGTCTGCCAAAACATGTTAAGTTAAAATCTTTAAATTAATGAATATTTGGCATTTTTGCTTGGAAAAAGTCAGAATTATATTAAAATAATGTTTTTTTAATTTGTATTTTTGGTTGAACCATCACTTTAAATCCATGTATTTCAGTGGTAGACTTGTTTCGATGATATCTTTATTACTTATTGTATTTGTGTTGGTAATGTGACGCCTCTTGTGAATGCCCTGAAGCCTCTGGATCTCTAAAACAAAGATGTTGTGATTTCATATTGTGAATTTGTCGCCTGAAGAAGGCCCATAACTGAAAAGTGTCCTCTCCCTCTGCACCTGTATACCATGAGTTCATGATAACAATAATGGATAATTCCTGATATTGTACCGCTTTGTCTCTTTCCTCTGGCTTTTGTATCGGGAAGAAGCGAGGAAAGGAATCGAGGATTCAATGTCAATGGAAAAGGTGTGACGGCTATTTGCTTAAAAGCCTCTAATAAACAGTGACAATGTTTGTTTTTTGTGCAGCAAGAGTGATGGGCAGGACAGCCCCCTTGTTGAGCAGTTCATTGCCAGAAAGGCTGACATCCTGTTCTGTCCAACATGGAAAACAGCCACTCACAAAGAAGAGGAGGAGGAGCAGCAGGAGGAGGAGGAGGAGGATGCCACAGGTTTGTGTTTAACTACAACACTCAGCGTTCGTCCACATTACGCTCCCAAATGTAATATAAAATAAATGTTGAATGTGTGGGTAAGGTCATGTCATAATAATATGATTATTATAATAATAAGAATAATTGGATTTGTACCATTCGTCACACAGATTCAGGTCTTTTTTCATACTTTTACTTGAGACTTAAAAGAAATGGTTGATTACCACATTAAGACACAATGAAATGGCTACTATGGGCACTAACATCATCACACATGAGAACAATTAGCGTCATTGAATCCACAACAGTCTCAGCTTTTCCCACTTTATTCAAACCCAAGAGTGTCAAGGTGCTCCTGCTGCAGAAACCATTTTGAGATTTGGTGAAAATAACTTGTTTATGCTGCATGCCCAAAACTGCATAATTTTAGATACACGGGACTCCAGTGAATATGGCCATGCCATCCTTTGAGCATTATTAAGCATCCTGCCAGACAAGCTAGCTTATGAATTCCTTTGGTATTCTAGTTTTATATGATACCCTAATCTTCACTAGCTTTAAAACTGAGCCCAATACAGCATCTAAAAGAACGCTTAACGCTGATTTCCATTGGCAGGTTAAATGTCTTGTTTTGTCACAAAAAACTTCAAGATATTCATTTTAATATTATATACAATAGAGAAGTAGTAGTAAACCGTTGTAATTATCCACACCTAAGAAGAAATAAATGGCGTTATTCAAATAATAATAATACATTTTATTTCTATAGCGCTTTTCTTGAACCCAAAGACGCTTTGGGTTAAATAGTTTAAATAGTTAAATAGTTTCCGATTACTCTCCCGTTGATCAAATAATCGTTGCAGCTCATTTTCCTCTTTTGACTTGGCAAAAAAACCTTTTCAACGAAGAGCTC